CAGGGCCGTAACTCACAGGGCAGTGACATGAGCTACTGTGATGGTCGCTGCACACATACGATATCAGGGTTAGGTAACCTACACATCTGCTGCAGTGTCTGAGAAGAACCACAACGGCCGTTTAACGGCAGCCCGCCAGGCCTTGATCATTGAGATTAAAGAGTTGAAAGATGAGTATGTTCATATACAGTTTATACAATATATGTGTGTATATATATATATATGTGTGTGTATATATGTATGTATGTATATATATCCATATTTGTATGTAAATATACATACATATCTATATCTTAATATATGTATGTGTATATATATTTTAATATATAGACACATATATACATTTTTCTTTTCATTGTGTCGTGTGTGTGTTGTCATTTGTAAAGGGAAAACAACAAAGTGAGATTTCTATTGCCCTGGGCCATAAAACGTAGACAACATATTGTGTGCCATTTCCCTGTACAGGTTGTGTTATATTTAGGACGTCCTCGACCTACATCATTTACGTCACCACACCTGCTGTGTATAAATACATTAACAACCTCATTTTGACGAGGAAGACCGTTTTGTTTAGATATACATATATTTTTGTCCTTCATTTTGGCTCACAAACATTTTTTGTACTCAGTGCTGTCGCTGTTAAAATTCACGGTTTTGTCAGACCAAATGATAGAGGACAATAAAGAATTCAACAGCACACTTTCTGTGTGGTCTTCATTGCTGTTCGCTGCACAGGTTCCATTTCACTAGATATTTATGTCATGTTCCAACTAAAGGTGAAAATCTGAGTTACGACGCTGCTAGGAACCAAACCCTGTAAGTCAAGGTCTCCCAGCATATGGAGAATTTCTACACAATCCGTACAGTGTCTAAAATACATCCTAACCAGACAGTCTGGTCGGTGACTAGTTCTAGTCCGAGCCACTAATAAGTCTGACACAAAGGAGTGTTCTCACACTGTAAATGTAAATTAACTCGGTTTAAGAAAACAGTTAGGACTAAGGCAGAGTGCTTTCTAAAAGACCTTTATTCCTGTTTCTCAGCAGGCTGTTAAAATGACGGCCAGAGAGAGTTTTAGTTGAAGAGAGGTTTCAGCTGGATCATGTGGAGTTAAACAGTGCAGTCACTCAGAGTTGTTACCGTTCAGTCCCTGGAGGGACATTGTATTCTGCTGGACTAAAGGTCTCACACAAGCTGGGTCTGGACCTCGGAGGCCAATTACAGTCAAAGTTACAACAATAACTCAACACAGACAGAGAGAAACACATGCAGGAAACCAGACAAACATTGACTAGAGTTTGTTGATATATAAACGCATAGGAAAGTATAAAATCTTTAGTGGTTTACAATCACTACGGCAGAATAATACAGTCTTCAACCTGAAAAGGCAGCAGTGAGTGGACAGAGGCCAACTACATACATGAGAGGAACAGAGAGCTTCTGTCTGAAAACCAAGGAGAACCCTGCACCGATCAGAAATATACAGGATGCAGAGATGTCCCAGCTGACACTGAATCTATCACAAACTAATCTACAGAGACAGGGTCTCTGATTGGTCCTGATCTGTGGTGTGGGAGAGAGCTGAATATTGTGGTAGGAATCGTCATCCATTCAAGACATCCACAGATTATAAGTAAGTAAGTCAAACCAGATGGACTTCCTCAGTGCGCCAGGATCTGTTGACATGATTTGTTGCACCTTTGTGACCTTGACCACTCTCTGCCGCCGCTTTTTATCTAGTGTCAGAGGTCAACAAGTCAGTGTTTGAGTCTGTCTGTCACGATCTAAGAAGTCTACGCTGAGGGAACCGACTGAAACTAAGCTGCGTCCAGAACTAATGCTAAAGCAAACATCCCACTGCTGCAGGCCGAGCAGGCCGCTCGTGTTTTGTGCTAAAAAGACTTAAGTATGTGTAATCTTAAATCCCAGTGAACCATTTATTAACCCCTAATGCTCCAACCCTAAAATGTGTTTTACCAAACAGAGAAAAATGTTCCCAGGCCAATAAACACCACAAGAGTATGAGTAAGAGGTATTTTCCTGTGTAACAATTCCAACTCACAGCTGTGTTGACTCACGCTGAAAGTTGGTTTTCTTTTTTTCTTTTCCTAGGACAAACTCAACCTTTCCCACGCAAATGAAGCATGAAAGGCCATGGGGGCCATTTTGTAGATCACCTGTTTTTAAAGATCTGTTTGGTTGAGTGATGAATGTGAATAGAGTCAGAGAGCGGTACACTACAGGTACGCACACGCTGATATTCAAAAGAATCAAAACATAATGATGGGACTGTAGTCAATCACAGATATGCAGCAGCCAGGCTCTAATGCCAAGCTTGGCTGGACTTCAGTTGTAAAGTTGACGTCCTGCAGGAGTTTTTCACATGTTGTTACGGCCCCGGTATAAACATTATATACATATTTGATTGAGTTCTCTGAACATATATTAGAATGAATGTTACTTACATGAATTAATTTGTGAAATTGATCATTAATAATTGTATTAATTCAATTTACATTTCAACACCACAGCTGTACAATATATCCAATAATTCCACAGCCCACCCACTTATGGTTGTCCGTACACATGTTTTCAATGAGAAATAGTTTTGAAGCAGCTGGAGATTAAAATACCATCTCAATGTGCAGCACAGGAGTTTCAGCTGCAGGTTATTCATGATTAGTCGTGATAAATCAACAGCTACCGTGTGATTAATCAAATAAAAATGTAATTGTTTGAATTTTTAGCAAGATTTAGTGATTTTGCAATAATATGTGCATTATTATTTAATAATGAGAGTTACTAATTTTATTTTTAAAGGACTTTTACATGTAATTGCACCCCTAAATATACACTGCTGTGTTTAGAAATTGTTATTCTAAAATATGTGGAGAAAACACAAGTATCTTTACTCTTTCAAGTAAAAAAAATGAACTATTATTTTTAAACAAGTAAGATAAGATAAGTCTCCAAGCAACTATTTTTGAATTTAACAGAAGAAAGGAAATTACGTTTTTCTTTAGCGGTAAAGGTGTAGAGTCAAGTCAGGTGACGGCATCAAGACTTTTAAGTTGGATTCTACACAACAACGTCAGACAACTTTACGTCACATGATAATATGATACGTTTATAAGTTCACAATCATATTTTTACATTTCAATATTGAGCCTGATATAAAAGTATGATCATTACACCATTGAAGTGTAATGAAAGCATGTTTATGAAGCAACAGCTTCATCTGCTGTCCCTACAACGTATTACGTCTTTAGAGGTCACGTGGCTGTCGCTCTTACCTTCCTATTGGCTGCGTGGGGCAATGTGACCAAAACACAATCATGGCGGCCGCAGCAGCGGTCCGGTGGAGCATGGGTCTAGGTTTGAAAGTCATACCGGACTGTAGTTTATGTCCGCTGTCCAGAAGCTGTGTGAGCAGCTGGATGTCGCTAAAGAGGAGCGTCAGATACCGGACCATAAACCGACATCTGCGGACCACCATAGGTTTGTACTTAATTTGCTAATACCATTAGCCTTAGCAAACACTATTCACTGCTGTTCGTTCAGTCAAAATAAGGTTATTGCATGTAATTTTGACAACAAGAGTTGTGTTGCAACTGCCATTCTATTAGGGGTTTGTTTTGAAGATGAACCATTATCCTTTATTCATTAATTAAGTATGACTTAATAACTCACCCAAGTTTGTTTTTTTTTTGTTTAAAGTTAGATATTTCAATGAGTCCGAAGTGTTGAAACAAAGTCAAATATGTCAAACATATGAGTGTGGTCTTGTTACATGGCTTCTCCTTTCTCTCCTAAAGGACTCCACCACAGTGAAGAGGGAAGCTCCAGTGCAGAAAGTCCAGACGATGTGTAGGTTCACACTATGGTTTTTTAATGTCTACAGTCTGTGCTGCCAGTTTGGATTTAGACCAAACCATCGCTGGTGCTGTGTGAACAGTAAAGATGTCATTAAAGTGATTGTAATCTGATCATCAGCCAAACATGTTAAACAATGTTCTGCCCTCACACCTTAGACCTTACACTGATCCATTTAAAAGTAAATGTTGTCTGTTTTGGGAGTGACCGTCGTTTGTCTGTTTTAGTGTGAACGTGGTGTATATAGATCGCTCCGGTCAGAGGGTCCCTGTCAAGGCCAAAGTAGGAGATAATGTTCTGTATTTGGCTCACAGGCATGGAATAGAGCTAGAAGGTTTGTTGTTACACACATCATCATCATCATCATCATCACATGGAACACGATGGTTTTAAGGCAGCTACTGTTACATTTTTACATTTCTGTCCTTTAGGCGCCTGCGAGGCATCGTTGGCCTGCTCAACATGCCATGTTTACGTTAACTCGGACCATTGTGACAAACTGCCTGAACCCACTGAGCAGTAAGTTTGATGATATACTTTCAATTTACGTTTAAAAAAAGTTAAAAAAAATAGTTGTGATGAACAATGGTTTGCAGAGAGGATGACATGCTGGACATGGCACCAATGCTTCAGGAGAATTCCCGACTAGGGTGCCAGATCACTCTTACTCCAGAGTTGGAGGGCATCGAGCTGACCTTACCCAAAGTCACCAGGAACTTTTATGTGGATGGTCATGTTCCTAAACCTCACTGAGGAGAGACAACGACGGAGAAGGGCACTGACGAAAACTAAGAGGATGCTGCTGTCAGCTAGATTCTCTAGTGGTGGTTCAGTGAGTGGGTACACTGCTAGGATAGTACTCAACAACAAAGTCTGGCAACCTCAATTAACCAATGGCTAGACAGGAAAGTGAGATCGCAGCAGGTCAGACACCGTCTCATCAAAGGTGAAACAAATGATTAGCTTAAAATAATTTGATGGTGTGATGGGTAATCCATTTACCCTGAACACCCACTACAGTTTAAGGGTAAAAAAAGAGTAATAATTTGGAGGGCAAACTCAAGGTTAGCTCACATGGTCTGAAGGGGTTACCATAGGCTCTAAGTGACACTAAGATCTCCCTTTTTGCTCTAGTGAAAAGTATAAATAAATAATGCAGAGTACTTTGATATTGAACAAGCCAAACAGTCCCCATAGACAGACAAAACTAAGTATGGAGCTTTTTTACTGCCTTTAACATGAGTTAGAGCACATGATCTGCACTGGGAAGATAAATACTGTAAAGGCAAGTCACCAAATGCAACAACTTACAGACTGGCATTTTTCACATTGATTTGCTTTTGTGTGCATCATTTAACATGTGATCTGACAGAGACACTCTAAATCAGATGGTTGCTGATTTTGACAGGTCAATGTTCAGGAATTCTTGCTGCACTAGAAAACTACCAACTGGGTTTGAGACCATGAGACCACATTCATAAAGTAAGAACTTCATTTGACAATGTGGTATGTTTTTTTCCCCCACATTCCACAGTGCAAGTTTAAGTGCTTTAAATCATTGATATTAAAGTCGGTAATAAAGCTACATACGTGTCTCAACGTAGAATTCCATGGTTAACCAGTCGTGCAGAGCCTGATGTGAAAAAACCCTGTGGTGTTGCCTCCCCAGAAATATAAATCAATTGTTTGCGTTTCAGCTCCAAAACTGCAGTACTCTCTGTACTGTTATTGCAGATAAGTCAAAGGTAATTAGTGTGTCATACCAAATATTAGCGCAGTTGCATCCTAGTTTAGGAATGTGACTGCTCAATCCTGTGGCCAGTTTGCTTTAACAGAAAAAAATTGAAAAAAAGCAAAAGAAAACAACAATTCTGATAAAATCAGATAGAGGGAGCCATTGTCTTTGGAAATCAACATCTCTAATGTTTAAAATGATGAAAAAAAATGTTAATGGTGAACATTGTGAAGCAAAACAATATTATTGGTTACACACATGTACCCCTGTGATCCACAATGTCAGACTATCATTACCTCTAAGATAATGTAACATTCCGTTACCGCTCAGATACGCACAAATGTCACATGATGTTTTTAACCATTCAGTCAGATAGTCCTGTTACGTTAACTCTTGAAAGATTTTCTCAACATATTTATTTTCATATGAATGTACTCAATGTATTTGTAGTAGGGTTGCCTTGATACCATTTTTACTAACTGATACAAGTACAAGGATTTACAGTTGTGTGTTTGCTGATACCAAGTACTGTCAGCAATACTTCTCAAGTTTTATGCAGTGAACTGGAAGGCAGAGCTACATAGGTGTCAGGGATGTCTTTGGGTAAAAGCTTGATGTGCAGTGTGCACAAACTCAAACCAAACCACAGTGATGACACCAAGCTGGAATATGCTTAGAGCTGCTTTTATTTTCTCCTCACTGACTGGCTTAGGCAATATATCAAAACTAAGGATTAAATAAATAGGAATAATACAAGTGCAATGGCAGTTCTTCTGCTTGCCACTAGAGGGCTCCAGGTTCAATACCAACTCGTCCATAAAATCCCAGGCTTGGTTGCCCCAGGAAGAGCAGTGTGACAAATCACCGTGTGGACCACTGCTGTGGCGACCTCTGATGAAGTGACGAGCCCAAAGTGGTTCTTCTTTTAAAAGATAAAAATAAAATAAACCCACTACAGCCAAATGAACAGTAAGTGACTGAGTTTATACTACCGTAGCAGATTTTATTTGAACACATTACTCAGCTACGAATGGCACTATTTCCATGTTTGAAAAACCAAATCAACACACAAAGACTTGTGGTAGGTGTAGATGCCTCATCCGTCCAATAAGAAGAGACATTAATATATTCATCACAAAGCATGTCAGTTTCAAGTGTTAAATTCTGTTAAATTAGTTCCATTAACTAAAATAAAGCTCAAAACAAATGTCATTGTCTATGATCTTTAAATACCTCCGAACTACTGACGTTGTGGACCTACTTTAATGAACTAGCTGTGAGTGCATTGAGAGGAAAAAGAAACCCCCACAACGACCCCGCTCTCCTTAACCCAATCGTAGTAGTTTCTTCAATCTGTCTATTGATGTTTTCTCTGCTTAACGCAACAGCTAACTAACATGTTCTCCACGACCACGGGATGTGCCTTTAAACAGGGTTGTTTAAGAAACGAAAAGCTGCCCATTCCATCGGTTGCGCTTAAATAACTTGCTGCCAGCTGAAAGATAATTGCACATGCAGTAGTTATCCAATAGGAGGCTCTTAGCTATTTGCTTAGTTAAATCCAGGTGGTGACTTTTTGGGCCATGAAAATAACCTTTAAAAACATTTACCTAATAGTAAAACATGATGGTGTCATTGTTTTTATTTTTTCATCACTCGCCTTCTTTTAAGTGTCAAACATTGATTACATTCACTGAGGCAGCACAGACATTGACACAGACAATGTAATGCTGTAATTATTTCAAGCTAAATTTATTTAGTTGGAAACTGCTTCTTATTAATCTTAAACTCATCTTCCTGGTTGTTCTTTTGGATTGAAACAATGGTGTTCACGTTCAAATGCTTCAATGTTTTCGATGCGTTCAAGGTTGAATAAAATAAAATAAAATCGACACTAAAACACGCTTTACGTTTGTTTGGAGCATTTTAGAATCCATCAACCAGTGACTCTACAACTCCATGTGTCACTGCTGCTGTGGGAGTGAAGCTCGGACATTTATTCCTCAGCAGGTGTAATTGATCAAACCGAAGACAGCTGCGTTAACTCCTGCTGCAAACACCACACCACCATGGAGACCAGACCGGTGGGTTACAGAGCCGTCAGAACACAACGATACACACACACACACACACCCACACACCCACACTTTTAAACTTTGAGCCAGTGGTCGAACCGGGGGTTGAGGGGATGATGGTGAGTTTTGAGTGGACTTTGAGCAGCTTTGTATGTGATCGACCTGAGGTTTCAGTGATAGAACCGCAGACACCACAACAGACTGTGATGATGAGCGATGTTTGTCTCCATCATAATTTTGCATTTTTATTAACATTGACCCGAAATCAGCTTTAAATGCAAAATGTGGAGTCACTTTTTAACAACTGGTAGTCATGGTTAGAACGCGGAGTCATATTTAAGGACTGACGATTGTTGAAGGAACTGTCTCTTGACTTAAGTCATAAAGATCAATCATTTACGTCACAATTACCGCAGTCTTATTTCAAAAGAGACCGCGAAAATGTTGGAACTTTATGACGTGACGTCGTTGGTCATTGACACTTTAAACTCTGCCGAAACGACACGTTTGGACCTTAAACCATATAATAATTATGGTAAGTTTGAGCGGAATTGCGCTGTATAGAACACAGTGTGACTTTAGCATTTAAAATATATATTTTATGGCCATGTTAAGTCGTGTTTTCTCCACAGGAATAAATGTATCAGTTCGGCCTTTTTGTTTTTGCTGCCACGTACTTGTAGCTCATGCAATGGCAGAATGTATTTTTTAATACATTAAAACTAATGTTTTAGATTTGTGGTCGTTGTTTGCAAATATTTAGATTGACTCCAGTGACTCGTTGTTTGCAAATATTTAGATTGACTGCAGTGACCAGGCGCCTCCTCTCTGTTTAAACATTTAATAGTCAATTAGAAAGACTTCCCTCGAGAATATTTTTTTTTTCCCATCAGGGAATTAAATAAAATTGAGTAAACGCAAACAGTATGTTAGAAGGAGAATAAAACGTGAATTTACTTGTATAACTTTTAAATAATGTTATAACCCAAACCAGTGGGCTGAAGTCAAGGCTGCATGTCTTGTAATGACTAATTGACAATAAATAACTGATTTTTATTTGCTTATGGCCTATGGTTGATTTCTTTCTAGGGTTGTTTAGGTAAATATTTCATACATTCAATTTAAAGTAAAAATATTTTAAAGTACTGCACTTTAAATGTTGTGTGAATGAAAATAATCCAATATTTAACTAGATTTATTTTGCTTGGTCATACATTTTGTAAACTCCTCACACTTAAAGCTTTGACAACAACAAACCCTCAATAAATAATGATGTAACAACTCTTTGTTTTTGATGCAGGAAACATGAGCTGGGGGGCACAGACACAGACCACTTTCATCCAAGGGAGCCACCAAAAGACATCAGAAAAAGATGACTCCAACTCTGCTCTGTTTTACCTTTTCCAAGAGGTGTCCATGCTAGCACCTCCCAGCCACTGCAGTTTCTCTGAAACAAAATCAACTCCCAAACTGCTTGGTGGGACAACTGTCCAGGATAAGACAGAAGAGGACGGAGATGTATTTAAAACCTTAAATGGATCCCGTCTGCAGTGTTTGTCTGGTAGTCATGGGGTCAACACCTTCAAAGAGGAGTGCGGCTGCCATGACAGCAGTTGTGAGTTAAACAGTCCATGGAAGGTGTTGAACCTCATCAACCTGCAGTGTGAAAGACTCCTGCATCACAGAGATGAAGACAAGTCGACTCCACGTTCAGTCTTACCTGCCGTGACACTTTGTCAGTCAGTCACAGCGGAGGCTTCAACTGAGGTAGATGTTACAGAACTGGAAGCTGAAACTGCTACAGTCCAAAACACTGAAACTCATTTTGACTACAAGACAGAAGAACTCCCAGCCTCTGTGGAACATGGGAACAACGGGAGAGTAGACCTTCATAGTGTTGGTGGTCAGTGCTGTGTAAATGAATCTGGAAGTTGTGGTGTTACTGGACTGTCAGAGGAGGTGAAGGAAAATGCCTTCAGTCATCCCCATCACAGCGTTCAGGAGTGTACACACCCATTCCCAAATCCTGCCTTCTTTCAACACGTACCCAGTTCACAACAAAGTACCGACGTCAACTCATTTCCATCTGAGTGTGTATCTTTGTCAAAGTCAGTTTTAACACTGGACTGCAATGCAAATGTTGTTACCACAGATCCCATCGTTGACACTCAACAATCTCCTTTCCATGCTGTCCTGCCGTCCGTACTGTCTGTGTCCTGTGTTATAAAGAGACACAACCCTCTTCCACAAACTGGTATTGTAGGTTCCCAACCAGAGAGTACACACTCCTCTGTAAAAGACAAATCTCCTCATGATCCACTTTTCAAACCGACGGTCAGTAAAATCTCCTCTGCCAAGTTTCCACCAGAAGACTCACCAGCACAAAAAAAAGAAATCGAACCTCAGACTATTCTCAAGTGGAGAACCAGAAGTCGGAGGAAACAACCATATCCCAGCAGAAGCATTGACATCCAGGACCCCAACGTTCAGGGAGTGACCTTCAGTATGGGCTCTGAGCTGGATGACAGCAGGGAACACTGTCGCCTCCTCATAACTTGGAAATATAGGTACACATTTCTTTCAACTGTTTTTGTGAGAAACATGTAATGTCTTAGTAAGGTGTGTCTGTACATGTATCTGTCACAGCAAGGAGCTCTGTAAGAGAGAACGAAAGCTTCAACCAAGGACAAGAAAATCCTATAAGACCAGCAGCTCAGACGAAGAGAATGACCACCTGACCACTGTGCCCAGTAAGTTACTGCACGTCTCAGTTAATATGTTCACATACTGTACATCTGTGATGGGTAGTCCCACAATTAAAATAAAACAAAGTGATTGGTCAAACAACGTCATGTCATCACTCATAGGAAAAGATCTTTTATACATCAATAACATAAACATTTTTATCAAATCCAAAAGCAAATACACTAAATCCAGAACTCAGTACATCTGAAGTATAAAATATGTTTATTTACATTTTCTAAAACATTCACAAATTCAAGGTCAAACTCTGGCAAATGTTATTAGAACCCTTGCCTTTAGAGCAAGAAGATCATTGGTTCACAGGCCTGTCTGTATGGAGCGTGCATTGTTCTGTGTTACTGTACACCTACACATTTATCAGACGCTTTCAGCCAAAGCGACTTACAAGACCAATCCACAAAGAGGAACTCTTGAAAGGAGATCACTATTTAGGAAAGCAGGGCTATAGTATGTCTGTATGTCCTTTCTCCTCCCACAGTTGACCATAGCTATGAATGTGGCTGTGAATAGTTAAGAGTGGCTCCAGCAAATGAATAAGACGTACAATGTATAGTTCAAACTCACATAATGTAAATATGTACTGTCAAACACATGGTCGTATGAAGTAAATAAATGTTTTTGTTCCATCAGAGAGTAAAGCCTGCGCCTCATGTTGCACCAGGAAGACACCGATGTGGAGGGATGCAGAAGATGGGACCCCCCTTTGTAATGCTTGTGGAATAAGGTAACTATCATTACTATGTACAGATGTGTGTGTATATATGTATATATATATGTATATGTATGTTCTCTGTATTTGCTGTTCTGTATTGGTGTAAAATGTGTCTGTGTGTGTTTATGTCTTTATATAAGGTATAAGAAGTACAGAGTACGCTGTGTCAGCTGCTGGCATATACCCAGAAAGGAAAGCAACTCCAACTCCTGTTGTCTAAAATGTGGAAACTTAGTCATACAGATCTCAGGTCAGCGGAAACACACCAGCTAGAGAATGTCTACTTCAGGTACCAGAGCTGACAATTCAGGGTTCTGTCCCCTGTAAAGATCCAACATTATCTGTTGTATTTTACGAGGTTGAGGTTGATGTTAATTTCTCTACTTTACTGTAGAAATGGTAACAATTGGAACAAAATTGTTACATTTCGATTCAGATGTAATTTTATAGAATGGTTAACTAAATACTAAAACAAGACTGAGAACATGTTTTGAATGACAGTATCCAATATATGTGAAATATCTCTAAAAGAGTGTGTAGTTTTAGCTGAGATATTCATGTACCACCTGCTGAAACGGATCATACATTTGACTGTGGTGTTTATTCTGCCAACACGAATAAACAGAAAAAAAGTTTTTCTGCTCAGAAATATTTTGAGGTTAAAAAAGAAACAAGGTGAGGTCAATATAAGAACAGTGCAGTGTGTTTGAAAGATGTTATTGTTCATGCTAATGTTGCTCATATGTAACTGTTTGCCACAGTGGTCACATTTGTTCATACATGCAAATTAAAAGTTTCACTGTTAACTGTCAAATCCATTTCTCTTCCTCCTGAGTGACATGACCTTCCTGTCATGATGACCACTGCAGTTACACACACTATATTAAGGTATTTATTTGTTGTCTTTTCTATGACTTTGGTTGTGAATATAATTTTTCTTCCCTTGGGGTTTATTTGGGTTGTTTAGTGTGTTCACTGATTTTGTTTGCATGTTTTGTTTACATGTGCAGTTATTTTCAGTTTGTAATAAAATAATACAATTTACTGTTTCTCGACTCGTCTTAATTATTTTGTGGAGCTATGATACAGGGTCAGGGCCTGGTGATATCTACATCTGATGGCTGTCTATCAAACTATAGGAATTAAACGGTGCAAAGTATTTCTTTAACTGCCAAACGTATTTTTCATAACAGCGGTTGTCTCCATCTAGTGGTTAGATAAAACATGAACAACCTATGAAAACTAAATGAGAACCGAATTCATGTCTATTTTTAATGGAAAATTTTATTGCTGATTATTTGTATCTTCTGTTATCGCCCCATAATATAGATATAACTAGAAATAGAGTACTTTATAATCACTTAACTTGGCCGAGGTTCTTACAAGAAGTGAATATTTACACTTCTAAGATGTTCTATTACTGCTTCCATGGCATTGCTGATTATTACACGGCTTCAACCCAAACAAATGACAACAATCAATCAAACAATCAAATTTAGTCATTAAATGAAGGTTAAAAATGATTGACTCAAAGTAAGGTTCTATAGAGTAGCGGTTACCGCTAGAGCGTAAGAGTGTCCAGGGTTCAATTCCTAGAGGAACCAAATGGCCTCCCTTGTGGCCTTTTGAGTGTTGTACAAGCACAGATACAGCACTGGCTTATTTGAAAACATGATTGTCATGACACTAAAAAACACTCAATAGAAACAAACAATCAGTTTCTGTAGATTTGGTTATTTACTGACAGGATCAGCACAATACATTATTCTTTACTTTCAGGGAAAAGTCACTCATATTGTCTGTTTAAAACCAATATGAAAATATATTGACAGGTAGTTCATTGCCAGTACAACTACACAAAGGGTTAAAGGTCTGGAAGCGTCAATGGAGAGCGTTTGGATGTTCGTGAAGTCATGTTATAAAACAATAAAGGAATAACGTGAGATACAAAGTTGTATGCTTCACTAAATACTTCGGAAGTAAAATAACGACATTTCTGTTATGGCAGATGGATCTGTGGCGCGGTGAAATGACGGCACACAAGGCCCCTCATGGGGATACAGTGTGATTGGCTGCAAAGAACGAGACATCTGATTGGCTGCTGACGGGCCCCATGTAGAAAAAATGCGTGCAAAATACATTTGTGAATCCTTGTTTGTGTATTTATTCTTTTTGAGACTGTTCCAGCTCCATAATTTTCTGGTTTTCTGGTTTTTGGTGAGGTAGAAAGGATTTGCGTAATGGCTGAGAGGGTTGACCTCTGAATAAACCACTCCTGCCTTTATGTCCTATTTGTGTGAGACAATTCAGTAGTGAAAAACCAAAAAGTTTCCTTTCCCTCACCTTTAAATGTACTCTATTTTACTTAATCAACTTCCTCTGTTACTATTACCTACTTCTCCAAGTGCATTTAGAGTCCATGAATCAGTGTGTTCCGTTGTTAATATTTTCCAAAATGTATTGACATAGTAACCCAAGAACTCCGCACCTGTTTACCGTGTCCAAAAATACTGTACATTCTGTTTGAAAGAGTCTAATAACTTCCATTCTCCAATCCCTCTCCTCCTATATCAGTTCTGCTCTGCTGTGCTAAACCAGGAAGTGTGCACAGGAAACAGCTGTCCCTCACGTCCGGCCAATCATGCTCACCAGGTGCATCCTGGGGAGAAAGGTATGTGTTACAGTGACATGTGGCCGACACTGTATAAGGTGTCACTACTGTAATTGGACTGGAACAAGATAAGAACGAGTCTCATGTTGAGGGCTCCAAATGTTATAGCAAGGCAGTAGCAAAAAAAAAAAAAATCAGGTTGAACAGCATGACACTATGCAAATAAAGAACTTATATATATTTGCTGGGCCAAACACAGACTATTTACACTCACAAATACAGTTATTGTTGATCTGTTTCAGGTGTGGTCAATTTTAATTGTATGGCCTAAATTCACAAAACACAATAACCACAACCAACTTTACAGTTTTACATTTATTTGAAAAAAAATATGACTATGCTCCCTAAAAAAAGAACAGAATTATATTGGGTTTATATAGAAAATACAAAGTGACGACGGGTTTACAATTACTGTTGATTAACAAATTACATCACACACTGAGCAAGTCATTTGGGGGAGAAAATCTCTCCCTTTTAACAGGAAGAAATCTCTGGCAGATCCAGGATCGGTGTTTAGATGTCTGCCTCTGGGAANNNTGCTTCTGGGAAAGAGGGAAAGTGAAAAATAGGGGAGACAGCGGAGAGGCCTGGTTCAGGCCTGGTTCAGGCCTGGATCAGGTCTGGATCAGGCCTGGATCAGGCCTGGATCAGGTCTTGCAGTTTTGAAGATACAAAAACCCGCGAGATAAAAGCAGTGACAAAAGAATCTATACTATTACCTATCATTCATTTCTCCGTACGTTACGTACAGTATGTTGTTTGTAGTGTTGGAGGGAAATAAATACTGCATACATTTTGTTTACCAACATCAACTTTAAACTTCTGCACAACCTGTCCTCAAGGAAAAGAGTTTCAACCACCTGTCTTCCTGTGTTACACAAACTAAAGAATTCTGCCATATTGAGTTGAAGTGTGACAATTCTGTTTTACATAGAAATAGATAAAGCGCGTGACAACCGTACCCCCATGTGAGTTGTTTTGTACTCTTGTGTATTTCTTATATGTTTCAGGCAAATTCTGCGCAGGAGAGACAGTGAACACAGTTATTCTGGCACACTCAGTGTGATCATGTGGAACCACAGCTGCTCGGTGCATGGGAGTGTGACAGACACTGGCTGTGCTCTGATTATTGATGTCAAGATGATGATAATGATAATGCTGGGGCAGAGTATTGACAACAGCATTGGTGAACATGACAGTTTT